TGGTACACCGGAGCGAGACCTCCGAAACACGTGTGTATGGCCCTGGCGTACCAACCTCGCTTAGGCTTTTGAACATTTATTCTAAATTACTTCGAATGTTTATTGCGAATTTAAAAACAGTCGATGCCAGGGACCAAATCACTCTATTAGAGAACGATTCTATAGGTATAAAGCTACTTATAGCTATGAGTATCATCAGAAAAAGCGCAGCACAGAAAACACCTACCCAGTGATTAGAGTGATATACAAATTTTTTGCATCAGGCGGGACTCGAACCCACATCTCACCTTATCCGAAGCGCGTGCTCTGACTCGTTGAACCACTGAAACCCGTTTTACCATCACTCTTTCTCCGCTACAGCGCATCTATCAAATAAAAAGACTTCGATTTGATCATCCAATACCCAACATCTATCAGCGTGACTGGGTTCACTGTTGATACCGACTACCTGGGTAACCGTTGACGGTTGGTTACTGAGAGAAGATAGTGTTGCAGAGTAGAAAGACTGATGGCAAAACGAGTGCTAGTACTGCAACGATTAGAGCACGTGCTTCCGGAGAGAGTGAGATGTGGGTTCGGGTCTAGCCTGACAAAAGGTTTGATATTCACTCTGCGTCATTGGGTTCACTCAAAACATCATATCTCCGCTCAAAGCGGTCAAATACAAGGAATTCTTTGAGTAAACACATAGCTAGCCGGAGTTTCTCTCACATGCTGGCAAGCGGAAACAAAACTCATGAAATAAAAGGGAGACTCAAAACAGTTCTCAAAAACACTTATTATAGCACTCGAAACAGAGCAAATTATCAAGGCGGGTGATAATTGCAGTATCCACATTTTAATTACTTTTTTCAAAGTACATTTTCAGATAAAGTGACATGAGAAGGCACTGAGATGGTCGTATACAAAGTGCATTTTTATGGTTTGCGAGATCTAAGCTCAGATTTGTGTAATACACAGAAAGAATGTGCTCGATTGTACGATATACGATCGGGAATTATTAGCCATAGCTGGCGACGAAATGGACAGCGCTAGAGATAAACGTGAGAGATTTGGCGCCATCAAGTAGACAAAGTCGTCCATACAACAGGTTTCCGCAGTGGGAAAAAACCGCTCCGATGTCCGTGGTCACCTGTGGAAATTGACAACGATCCCCAACCGGCTAGGGAAGATGAAAAGGAGTACCGAGTGCATTTAGCATGCCCCAGTGGCGATGACGAATGCGGACAATAATAAGCACGACAAAAGCTTGCTGACTTTTCATGAGATCTTGAGCGAATGTCCCACGAGTAGTTATAAAGTAATAAGAGCACTATAGTCAACTTTTTTAAGGCAAGCATGAGCCGAACAAAAAAATCGCTTTCTTTTAAAAATAGTCAGGAAGTGCTACAAAAGATTTGTGAGAGATTGAGACATTCATTGAAAATGTGATCGCTAGTACATGTAATTTCCCTAGCAAAGCAAAGTATCCAATCTTACCATGTTGATACACCTCGAGAGTAGTCGTGCCAATTTATTCACGAAAGTATTGCAATAATTGGTAATTCATATATTCGATCAGACTCGGCAACTTCAATTATCCTACTTAATCCCTTGTAGAAAACCCTCGAATTTGGAATTGATTTACAATTTCTGAAAGCATCATATGTTCATGAGCAAAGCGTGACTAGAAACAGTGAATGTCGACGTTATGAGACTCTCAGACAAGTCTGTGAATAAGACTGGACTTTAGCGAGATCGTATCACCATAAACTAGTTAAACTGCAACCGCTTCTCTATGGACGAATTTTATGTATCACGAAAGTAGTTTAGCCAGCGAGTGTTCATCAACGATAGCTCTATTTCTCCGAAGTTCCAGAAAAAAAAACTTCCAATCAGAGGGCATTCACTAGTCGGATGATCAAGCAGTCTCGGCTGATAACAGGTCATAATCGGAGAAGCATTCTCTAGAAGCTGCCCGCTTCATCTCGTAATTGACGTTTAGTTGGAACGATAAAGAACTCCGGAGTCACATTGATTGATGGCCTTTTTGGCCAAAATCCATTGTGGTAGTAGGGATCATGAGCCTAGCTTGGCTGTTATTAAACAAAGGCAATACAATAGATCTTCCTCAAACCTTACTACTTTCGTTTATGAAAACGTACTTGAACGGAGGTAATGCATTTGTGGATTAAATTTGCAATCACTTTCACGACAAAAATCGCTGATGGAAGTTCATGAGTTGCACAGGTGCTTTGACATCTTCCCATCAACTGTAGCTCATAGCCACTAATGGCAAACGAAAAATTCAGTTGAGAATCATAATTGATGAATTCTTTGATAGTTAAGATTTTTTGCGGGTCAGTTAGTTGAAGAGATGAATGACCACACATAAAGAACTTCAAGCACTAAGTTGACGAATGACAAAAATGAAAGAAAGCATATGGATCGTGTTTCACTCAGGACAGGCAAATAAATCATACTCGTATTGCTGGCTGACAGCGAGAAAGTCTCACTTAGTAATGTTTTTGATTGGAAACGAAGTACTTAGTACTACTGCTCCGTTATTCTGAAGATCAGAGCGGCTTCTGTGAGCAAGTGATATCGATCGACAATCGTCCAGGGAACCGTACTGTATTCTGGGGAGCTGCCGAATGATCCCAAGTCATTTGCGACATGACTAGAATATTGTATAAAGAGGCGATGCTAAGAACACTTCTTCCTTCATGCGCTGGTCCACTCTCGCCGACTTGTCTCCGCTGCGAGGGCTACAAAGACCAACAACACAAGAACAACCGATTATGGGCACTCGACTCGTTCATCATCGTTTCATTGAAAGCGGCGAAACCGTCGACGCGTTGGCGATAATGATTGAGATTTATACAAGTCTCGTGTTAGCCCGTCAATAAAAGCAGGATATTGATCTCAGCACTTTTGCATTCCAGTCGTCCCATCGTATCCATCGATCAGATGGTCCTCCAAACATGTTTCTGCTGCTTCATTTGCAGCGTGTGTGAGTATGCCTTTTATAGTACATCTGCGAAGTTCTGGTCCATTCAATTCTCTTTGCAATCTTGAAGCATGCCAAAGTGTCGCATATAGAATGCTTGAGAATTAAAATACGCTCCCGCAAGGATAAAATGCTGTTCGCTTACCGTCTTAGGTTCAAAGTTCTGCATATTACTCAGTATTACCGGATAAATATTTCTAATATTATAGTACTGCTAAGGCTGGTGATATAAAAATTCCTAGTTGACTATAGATATCATGGAGGCCGCCGATTATGGTGTTACCACGTGATAGTAAGCAGCAAACGATGGAGGTGGAAGTCAGAAACGCATCTTGTTTCTTGGTCACCTGCATAATCAACCACTCCTGCAGAGTGGTTTATTATGTTTGAAAATAGAAACCAGACCAGTTCGCAGATCATTTGCTAGTGTTCTACTATTCTCATGGTTGATTTGGCGTGCAGCAAAGAATCACGGAAAAAATTCGCATAATTGCGGTGCGAGGAGGGTGTTATGTGATAACTAATTGGCTTCTGTCGTCATATAGAGGTCATGGACGTCCATATGTTGAAGAACTTCAGAGATAACATCTTAAGAACATCTGACATTTGGAAAAGTCACCTATTTCACATTGATTGTATTGCCAGAATTGCATTTGTTGTAGTTAACTCCAAATTTCATGGAACTCGTTTTCGAAAGCATTGAGAATAGAATTGGCGATCTCATCTGAAACCCACAAAAATCTAAGAAGAACAAAACAACGTTTGTCGTCCAGTTGAAAAGTGGCTTATTCATGTAATAACATCATTTATGCCAAGAAGCACAGTGCATAGCGATAGCCTGTAATAAGCACGTGATGTTTGGTTTGGTTCCACGGCCCATAAAACCAAGTCTTTTGACCATTCAGCCTCAGTGACTCGGTATAGGACTTGTTTTTGAAAATAAAAGCACTACGTTGACAGATCTTCAGACCCTTGCAAATCGTTGTGAAGGCGAAATAGGCTTCAAAGATCCTACGAATGGAGGCGAATGTATCGAAGCATCCTTTATGAAACGATCAACGCCGAATGGTGGAAAGTTCTATAGCATGATCTTACAAAGATGAAATCTGGATAGCTTGCATCCATGACCACCTCATACCGACTACTGCTTTACTTAACGAGCAGCTTTTAGTGTCAACGTCTAGCTGAAGGTGATGAGCAAGATGATAGCACTTTGGTATGTCATAGAGGTTGTCACATATTACACGGAAGATATCTCCGCACATGCTTATTATAAAAGCTCTTGAAGCGATGACCTAATTTCTTACTCATTTTGAGAATGAAATAAAACCTTCATGTGGGAAATAAAAGAGAAAGTGTTCAATATTGCGCCAAGCGAGCGATGAGAATTCTCGTCGATCTTCCTAGAAATTCTAATGCTAAATGAAGCCCATTGAAAGAGAACAGTAAGAGGAACAGAAGAATTGTCATAGAGAGTGGAAACAGAACAGAAACAATGGCACATCGCTTCCATCTAACTTCTTTATAAAAGAAAAGAGCCACGGACACTAAAAAAATTTCTCAGTGATATGATTTACTGGAAGGTCATAGCTCTTCCAATCAAACCTTGAGTTTTTGGTCTCACTAAAGGAATGTATTATAATTCTGCGCAACAACGTTTCAGTTTCAGACTTGACAAAATATTTTTCCTGAGTAGGGCAGGGAGCAGAAAACGAACGCTCACTGAATACTGTGAAAGAATTTTTGACTGATGTGGTAAAAGAGATCGTGCTGATTCCAAAGGTAAATATTTAGGGGTCAGTCGCTGCTCACACTCAATTCTCTTAGGTATGAATGAAACATCATAACACTGCGAAAATGCAGTAAAACACTAGGATTTCTAGCTTACCTATCACAATGGCTTTCAGCTCAACTGGGTGTATAACGCGAAATCGCATACCTGACCAAACCTGTTAAAGGTTAGTGGTTGACAGCTGACATAGAGAGTTGAAGAATGATGGTAGCGCGATGTACCTCGGTGGTGTAGTGGTAGCACGCGTCCCTTGTATGTATGAAACACGGGTTTGACTTCCGTGTGAGGTCATGCTTTTACTCACCACTCAATCCTTTTAGGTGATATCTCCATAAAGAACTCTACGCTGAACTGGAAGCTTTGACGTATTCAAATGTTGAACAATAGAAGGCATAGCGAAGAATCAGGTTCAAATAGGACAGAAGTTTCAAAGCACCGAAATAAAATAAAAAGTGAAAAAATTGGAAAATAGATTGAATAAACCATGAGTAGGAAGACGATCGAATATGAGGTTTGTTCAGCGCTCCGTTTTCGTGAGTAAGCCGATTCATTTGTTGATCATATTGTTATATGCGAGCAGAAATGCATTGTTGCTACAATTGACGACGTCCTGAGCAGTGGTCAGATGAAGAAGAAGGAACAAAACACTTTCTAAAACAGAAAAACTGATATGAAAGAATGGAGCAGTCAAGTAGACAAAAAGTCTACGCACAGAATATCGTCCACTATGAGTTTTGAGTCCAGAAGAAATCGCTTGTAACAACAAAAACGACTTTGATTTGATCTAATTCGTTGCACAAAACACCAGGCCGGCCGAGAACGCTTTGACTGCGCGCTTAATGAAACAAGCCCATACAAAATGCATAATGTTGAACAAAAATCTATTAAAAAAGGACATTGTTCACTCACGGTCAGGTTCAATGAGAGTGAATAATAACATTATTGCTCCACTATGTGTTCGTTAATATAATCCGACACCTGCTGAATGTATTGCCACTGAAGAGAAAAGAATTTTGGTTAATAACTGAGTAGGTATCACACCATATGTCGAAGAGAACTTCCGTACGAGGTCAGGCCATTCCAACTTGGATAAGTTCCCTTTGAATGTGAAGTCTTGAAGACACTTAATCATTGATGCGATGATGCACTCAATTCGTCTGTATGAGACGGCTACGAAGATCAACATTGTAAGAAGGAACAAATGCTGTGGACACTCGACTCGAATCAACGTGATTGTGATGAACGTGAAACCTTTAGCATAATAAAGATGTGTAATAATCACGTGTAAGCTTATCAATATAGCGAAGCAAAAACCTACAACGCATAAATTTTGTTTTGACCAGCAATTTCTACTATTAAGTTGAACTTCAAGCTCGAAACATATGTTAATTTCCATACAAATTAGTATATGACATCTACAGTCAAAGGTCACATTGTTCGAATGAACACCTAGCAAAATTTGCTCTAAGAACTCACAAACAAGAAAATGCCAAACAGGAAATTCGATGAACCACTTCATGAGGAGAGAAGATGATAGACGAACGGTGGGGTACCTACACTGATCGTGCATAACATCGCACACTCGACGACAACTTCTATTAGTTTTGCGGCGGATTTTCGGCATAATCGCTTTTCGTTCTCTGGAATTCTCAGAACCAAGGAACACAGTCACTAAGCCTTACCGTGTCCTAAAAATCAGAGGATGATCTCAGCTTGATGAATCTCACTTCATTTGCATTCGCACTAAAAACAGAACTGCACTCATACCGTAGTAACTTTGATAAGATGCTATCGAATTTCGAAACAGAATGAAAGAGTAAATAAATTACATAAGAGTTCACATCGATATTGGACGGTAAGAAAAAAATAAGTAGAAGTTCAGTGATAGTTCATTGGATATTTGAACGCTCTTTTCCAAAATCTTGGTAGAGTTTGTCAGGGACAGCTCGCACCTATTTTATCATCCATCTACTCACTCTCAGCCATTTGTCGGAGAAAAATTTCGACATAATGCCGTAAAATAGGTGTGCTACATGTCTTTCAGTTAGCGGAGAACATTCTCTAAAGATTAAGGTGATCACTCATCATACAAGGGAATCACAAGAAATCAGGCGTGCAGGGTGTTTGCTAGGGCGCTTAGTGGCTCGACGCCGTGTTTGGACAACACCAACACACGACTGCTTGCGCAACTATCACAATATCCACACCGATAATATCATTGTAGTCCTCGTCTTCGACGAGACTACTGCGATCTCGTATGACGACGTTCATTACGTCGCATCGCCATGAACGGAAATCTGTCACAGTTACACAACAGCACTATATTTCTGATTCAAAGTTTTCATAAGCAAACCTCATGTGCTCAGCCATCAGTTTAGAAAGGATAAAGGATAGTTCTTGGCGTTGATCAATCCCTAAGGGATGCACCATGCATTCACCTTCAATTTGGTGACCGAATACATTTTTGGCCTTTACAATGAATGACTCGCGGTGGCCTCCCGCTGTAGCGAGTCAGTGCTGCTTGTCCTCCCAGACAAGTCTGCGACAGTCTAGCATTAATTTACCGACATCGGAGGAATTGAAAACTTGGTGAGTCGTGAGCGCGAGATGCGTCGCTTTTTCTTCTCTGTCTGGTGAATTTATAGTCAATAAAAATAATAGCAAAAGAAGGAAAGATATGAGAAATTATATCATCATAAAGTGACTAGCGTGTAGTGCATCTCGCTCATAGAGCAGAACTAGAGGAATTTGCAAAAGTGGAAATGATAACAAATTTTTAATAGTAGGTAACGAATTTTCTCAGGAGGAAAATTTTTTGCGTTAAATCTTCAACACAAAGGGACAAACCATGACACAAATCGTCCAAAGAAGAAAGAATCATAGGTTGAGAAAGCGGACACTAGGAGGAGATCAAATGTAACAAAAATTTCTACCAAATACTAGAGTATGAAGAATTTTGTAATAGGGAAATAAATGTGAACCTGAGCTGAGCAGCAAGGACAGTAACTTCATTCAATAAGTAAAAAACGCATAAAACTCATGGTAGGTTTCGGCAGCCTACGACAGTATAGTGCACAATGGTTCACTGCACATGTCTCTGGAAATAAGTAACCAAGGATATTTGGTCTCAAAGTGAACAATAATTTGGGAAAAATTATCTTGAATTAAATTTCACCTCAATCAAACACTATCAGAGTTCCAGACTTTTTCGCAAAAAACACAGGTATTCTTGTTTTGGTAGCAGAAATTTCTGTTATCCGGTACCTTTGAAACGTTTCCTTTGTGTACAGACAGAACCACAAAAACGGTTGAGGAGGCCCGAATTCGCTAAGAAGAATATGATGTAACATGGAGCTCATTATGCTGATCGCAGTCATATTATAAATGATACGTGAAAGTGTTAATATTACGAAGCTGTTTCTCAATTTTTTGAAGGCGAAATTCTGAATGTTTTCGTGCTAAGATATGAAAGAAAAAAAAAACTCGGGTTTGCCTCCAACTGAGTTTCTTAATTTAGTTCACATCTCAGTTCCTAGCGGCTGAACTAAAAATCTAAATTTCGATGATAGTTTTAGGAAAACGCCACTATCGGATAAACTACCAGAATACTCGTCAAGCTTGCAACCTTGCGAGTGCTCGAATACGCAAAAAATTATTATTAGTTATCAAAAAAAAAAATCAACCAGAAATGTTTGTATAAACCGCTATAGCAGTGGTATGATATTTCAGATATATATCCAGTAATGTTGAGATATGTACAAAAACTCTGAACGCCGGACGGGTTTCAAACCCGCATTTCACCCTTCCTGGGTGAACTTGGTGACCGTTGATGAGTGATGGCAGAACTGGAGCGCCAGTAGTACAATGGTTAGCGCGCGCCCTCGGAAAGTGTAAAAGCAGGTTCGATTCTGGCCCGACGTTCAAATACTTCCATAACACTCAGCGGTATTGGATACACAGTTCTAACATCATACAGCTGCTCAAGCGATTAATGAAAAGACTTCGAATTGATTATACCTATATTCAACATTTGTCAGCCTGACTGGTCTCAGTGCCGCTATCGGTTTGTCAGGCCGAACCGTTGACGGTTGATTGCTAACAGATGGACGTGTTGTGTCGCCAAAAGAATGATGGCGGACCAGGAGCTCGGGTAGTGCAATGGCTAGCACGCTCTTTCGGAAAGGATGAAATGCAGGTTGGAATTCGTCCGGCGTTCAGAGTTTTGAATATCATTCACCATAATTTGATATACAGTTGAAGAACTTACTCATTTGTTAATGTGCTAGCTGAAAAGAGGTCTCCATGATACGGACGAAAATATTTTTATTTTATTAATATAACTCTTCAAAAGAACGTGCCCGTAAAAGTTGAGCCGTGAGCTATCCACGGCAATGTTCTCGACCGAGAACACTAAGAGAAGGGGATCATATTGAAAGATCGACGATATTCGTGACCGTTGACCGAGTGAAGTCTATCGAGCCGGCCTGATGCATGAAGAAAACAAATAGAGTCTACTGACTAATAGGAGAAGATAAGAAGATAACGCATGCCAATTTTCATTTAGACGAACACACTTGAAATGCAAATCCAGACGAAGCCTTAGAGCTGATTTACATCCCTATCAAGATGATAATGTATGCCCCATCACAACAGTACAGATAGGACTGGAGTGCTTAAGAGTGCAATAGAAAGGTACTAGAAGACGGATGATAGCGAGAGAGTATTGCCACGAATTGCACTGGATATGAGAAATCAATTAGAAAAACCACTCATCACATTATGTAGATCATGATGACCGCTTTGTAATAACCGCTAGTAAAAATCAAAGGTAGAGTTGCCTGTCGCACGTGCAAAGAGTTTGTCTTCCGTAAAATAATTACGAGAAGGAACACACTGAGCCTCATCAACATGAATCTGGCTGTGACATAGTGGAAATTTACTTCGCATAAAACACCACCTAGCTGGAGAAAGAGAGCAATCATCTATTCTAATGAGCAATGATCAACGCAGACTAAACGATTCTATAATCCGGTCGCGCCAAACAATAAAGACCCTCATGCAATGAGGCGATAAGTCGACACCGAAACTCCATCGCTTTTTCTCATCTATTTCTGAAACCTATCTTAAGACGCTTTCGGGTCCTATAATGATCTACTCTTCATAAATCATGGCGTATATTCAGCTCCTTACATCGTTCGTGATCGCTCAGTTGATTAATTCTGGAACTCGTTGTTTGAGTTGAAAGAGTTTATTTCGCAGAGCACCGTCCCTCTATACTACAGACGCTGGT